ACAATTATTTTTTTATTTATTTTATTATTCTTCTTTTTAGTTATGTCTATAATATATCTTCTCTTATTTGATTTATTTGTATTTTAGTTCCAACGTTTCATTACTTTCTTGTATAATAAACAATTTATACTATTTCTGTTACACTTTTATTATTTCATCAATAATTTTCTGTAATAATTAAATACTTTTTAAAATATTTTTTAATTAAAACAAAAAATTATTAATTTTATGATTTTTAAATTTTTTATATCTATCAAACTATATACTGTACCATAAAACGTAAATCAAAAATAGTTTAATATTTTTACTATTTTTTTCCATTTTATTTGGAAAAATTAACTCAATTAACTCCGCGTACTTGCCATTTGTTAATTACATTCATTAGCAAACCTATACGCATTTATTTTGCTTTTACCCTTTTCTTTATACATTTATGCATATATCTATACAAATATATGTATACGATTTTATGTATGCATGTATGTGTATGCATGCATGAAAACAGAATTTAAATGAAAACAGCTGTAACAGCAGCAAATGAAAATGAATAATAAATGCAGTAAAAACAAGAAAAAAATGCCGCTAACATCACATATACATAAACAGAAAAACAAACTATTAAAAAAAGAGARCGCGCAGAGAGATTCAAATATTGATATTAAAGAAGTACATATATTGAGAATTAAAAACAAAGAAAACAAATTTAAAAAAATATTTAAAAGAAAATAAAAACGCATTAACAGAGGATTAGCGAAGATTGAGAGAAATTAAAGAAAATACTTATAATAAGCAAAATTGCAATGCTAATAATGACTATGGCGATAATGATGATAACTACTATGATGATGTACGCTATATTCTGTGGTACTGGATACACAATAAAAATAAACGTAATCTCAAAAAATGAAATGTGTTTCAATTAAATTATAAATAAATATCTTTAAATAAGTTTCAATTATATAATAATATTAAATTTAATTAATTTATTTTTTTCATAAAGAATAAATTTTTTTTTAATTTTTCTATTAATTTGTTTGAGTTTATTCTCAGGCTGAAATAAAAGTATATACTATATATAATATGTATGTATACTTATGTGCAGGCATACTAAGGCACATGCACTCTTCCTTAATTTTAACTCCATATACATACATATACAGACATACATACATATGTATACCTAATTATTTATTTTCCTTTTACTTTCGTTTTCTATTTTCGTAAATACTTTCCTTGTGCGATGGCAAAGTGCCCTTATATTACATACGTTAACGACTGTGTTCTTCCCGGATGAATCATTGCTAACTGGCAGCTGCGAAATCTGCGCCGCTTACGTTTCCTTAAGTAATGATGTTAAACATAAATATCGAACTCTCAAACATATTATGTAATAATTCTTACGACAAGCTACTTTTTTCTAAAAATTATGAATTAATCAGTAGTAAGAATTTTCAATTTTATCATAGATAACGGGTGATCCATGTAGAGGTAATTTTTTCAATTGCCTTAAGCCTGAACACCGTTCATAAATCGTCCAAATTTATTATAAAAATTCACGTTCTGTAAAAGATATGTTTCGCGCGCTTCGCTCAACTCATGGTCAACATTATCGGCCTACTGTGAGTACCATTCGCAACACCATCACCCATCTTRAGACTTAGCATTCATTATTGGATAATATTCGACCGAATAGACGACGTCTAGAAGCAAATTTACTTACGTTTCCGAATTTTCTAAGTATTCTATAACATTTACGGTTAAAAATAATATTTTTGAATTTTATGAAACTAATTATTTTTGAATTTGCGGAAAATGGATTATATTACACTAGCAATTTATGCGAATATTTTTTAAACTGAACTTTTGATTTCATATGAAAATTCCGCAGAGAGAGATAAATGAAGCGTATGTTTTTCGTTTGGTTATGCGAAAATACGGTTACCAATCGTATCGAGTTATAGCGTGGGTACCCGATTAGTTAATACTTTTTTCAGTTTTTGAATATTTATTCGAAAATTAATTTCGAAATACGAAAATGTGCTGAGGAGCATAATTTCGCGTAAACTTTTCGAAGCTCGAATCAATTTCGGATTAAGATTTGAGATACACRTTAGTTTTCGAATAATTCGAAAATAGGGTATACATTCGTATTGAGTTCAAAATGCAAAAGACTTTTTACAAGAACTTGATTCTGGTCGATCAGTTTGTATGACAGCCATATGATATAGTCATCCRATGTGGAAAATCAAATAGAGTTGGTCGGTTATCATGGAAATATTCATAATATAGAAAAATAATTTTACTCATTCATSAACTGCCACCTTTCCTACAGGCCCTTTCAGCGCCAACCCAAATTCATRGCAATGACGTCGGACGCAAAGTGCAATGAGAAGACGCCAGGTTGCAGAGTATAAAAGGCCAAATTTTACTAACAAAAATTTTATAAATTTAAATGCTGGCAGAGGACTAACAAGTATTTCAATTTAAAGTTCAATTCATCAAAATCAAATAAAAGCAAACGGAAAAAATGACGCTCGTGCCAACCACGTATGGCAGTTACGCGCGTGAACTCGACCGCTCACGTTACTATCCACCATACGATTTTCATCTATACCCCTACCACTGGGACGATACGCGCTTGTGGTGGCCCGAAACGCAGCGGCTGCTGTGTCCACTGGACGACTTGGTTACGCGTCGCGTACGCAATCAGTTGATACAATCCTCAATGCTGGACTGGCGTTATCCGATGCGTTGGGAGAATTACTATGCGGGCGAGCGGGTGCATGTGGACGAGAAGGGTTTTCAAGTGGACATTGATGTGCGTCAATTTAAGCCGCACGAGATTGTGGTGAAGACCAACGATGACTATGTGATCGTGCAGGGCAATCATGAGAAGCGAAACGATGGCAATGGACTTGTGGAACGTCATTTTATACGTAAATACCTACTGCCACGCGGTTTCAATGCCAACGATGTGATTTCGAATCTGTCCTCTGATGGCATTTTGACCATCAAAGCACCACCTCCACCGCCGACTAAGTACTATACGCCGAATGAACGCTTGGTGCGGGTGCATGAAACGGGTAAATTGGCATTGCCCTGGAAATGAATATGATTCGATTGAGTGACAGAAAAAAAAAAAATACAAATGCATGCCAAACCATTTGCTCACACAGGTGCAAGAGAAACAAGTGAAATATAGTTTAATTAGAATTGTAAACACCTTCAAGTTGTTAATAAGTACAAAAGTGAAATAAATTAATCATCAACAAGAGCTATTTATATATTCGTGCCGATGCACGTGTTATTGTTGTTGTGTAAGTGCAAGTGAAATGCTCATAAAATTTGTCAAAGTACAGACTAAGTAGGAAATTTTTATGTTGCTGAACTGATGAGCTGTAAAATTTTTGAATTGTGACACACATATATAACGGATTTGTATTCCCTGCAAAGGGTTTATTAATTTTTTTCACACAGAAGAATACCTTGGATAGTAGCTGAGTTGGTTTAGCCATGCCCGCTATGTCTGTATAGAGGGCGAGTTCCATCAGCTCTTTTCTCTCCGAGAAGTTGATAGCAATGCATATACAATGCATCGTACAAACAAACCAGTTAAAATCGAGTCCTTATGGGCATAGTTTTTTTAATTGGTGAAAAATCCTCACACAATTTTGCATGTATTACTTCCCAAGGCGTATAACTATAGCATATACTATGTAGCTGCCATACAAACCGATAGATCAAATCTAACCCTTATCTTTCTGAAATTTGGTATGAATTATTGTCCAAAGCAACAATATTCGAATAAATTGGTTCTTTTGGACTACTATAGCATATAGCTGTCATRYAAACTGACCTATCAAGACCAAGTTGTTGTATAGAACGTATTTTATTTGTGAAGTGTTTTATAGCTTCGGTGCAAGCAAAGTTCAGTTTATTTCTTGGTTTATGTACATAAGTACATAATCACACACAATTCAGAATCTAAAAATGTTTGTGCAAAGTTAGGTTTTCCGATAGGATGGTTCTTTGATGCCAGATTGTTTACAATATGTATGTATTAAATACATATACATTGTATGTATGTGTGTATATATTTGCAGCGGAAGAAATTTCAAAATCAAGGTCAAACTATTTTTGATACTTTTTTGCTCATATCGGAACTGAATGCATTGCG